TATTTCAGAGGGAGTGCGCAAGTAAGAGAGCACAAGCAGGGAGAGCAGTAGAGGGACAGAGAGAAGCAGACTTCCCCCCGAGCAGGGAGCCTGACTTGGGGCTTGATCTCAGGACGCTGAGATCACAACCCGAGCCGAAGGCAGCTCCTTAACTAACTGAGCCACCCAGGCGCCCCTAATACATGTATTTTAGATTTATGTTTAAGTATTTCATTTTTGAGGGTGCTAATGTAAATGTTACTGTGTTTTTAATTTCAAATTCTACTTGTTCGTTATTGACATATAGGAAAGAAATTGACTTTTTTATTAATCTTGTATCCTGAACCTTGCTATAATTGCTTATTAGTTTCAAGAATTTCTTTGTCCGTTCTCTTGGATCTTGTACATAAATGATCATGTCATCTATGAACAAAGTTTTATGTCTTCCTTCCAGTCTGTATCTTTCATTCCCTTTTCATGCCTTAATTGCATTAACACAGGATTCCCATATGATGTTGAAAAGGAGTGGTGAACTGAGACATCCTTTCTTTACTTCATCTTAGTAGGAAAACTTCTAGTTTCGCACCATTGGTATAATGTTAACTGTAGGTGTTTTTTAGAAAGTCTTTTATCAAGTTGAGAAAGTTTCACTGTCTTCCTACTATAGCAAGAGTTTTCATCATGAATCGTTGTTAGATTTTGTCAAATGCTTATTCTGCATATATAACTATGTGATTTTTTCTTTTTTAGTCTTTAGTGTATCAGTTTATATTAACTGATTTTTGAGTATTGAACCAGCCATGCATTCCTGGGATATGTCCCACCTGGTTTTGGTGTATAATTTTTTTTATACATTGTTGAATTTGATTTGCTAATATTTTGAGGATTTTGAATCTTTGGTCATGAGAGAGATTGTTTTGTAGTTTTCTTGGAATGTCTTTGTCTGGTTTTGGTATTAAGGTAATGCTAGCTTCATAGAATGACTTTAGTAGTATTCCTGCTTCTATCCTTTGAAAGAGATTGTAGAGAATTAGAATAATTTCTTACTTAAATGCTTGGTAGTTCACTAGTGAACACATCTGGGCCTGGTGCTTTCTTTTTTTTGAAGTTTCCTAATTGTTCATTAAGTTTCTTTAATATATACTGGTGTATTCAAATCATGTATTTCTTTCTTTGTGAGTTTTGGTTGATCGTCTTGTTCAAAGAATTGGCCCAGTTCATTGAGATTATCAAACTTCTGGGCATAGACTTATTCATGGTATTCTTTTATTATGCTTTTAATTGTATTGATGTCCATTCTTTCATTTCTGATATTAGTAATATGTGTCCTCTCTATATTTCTTAGTCTGGCTAGAGGCTTATTGATTTTATTAACTTTTCAAAGAACTGCCTTTTGGTTTCATTGATATTCTCTGTTGGTCTACTGTTTTCAATTTCATCGATTTCTGCTCTTTTTCTTTATTTTATTTATTACTTTAGATTTAATCTCCCTTTTTAAAAAGATTTATTTATTTATTTATTTATTTGAGAGAGAGAAAAAGAGAGTGAGTGTGCAAGCAGGGGGTGAGGGGCAGAAGGGGGAGAAAATCTTGAAGCAGACTCCCCAGTGAGTGCAGAGCTTGGATGCTTGGATCATGACCTGAGCCAAAATCCAGAGTCAGCTGCTCAACTAACTGAGCCACCCAGGTACCCCTCTACTCCTTTCTTTCTTTCTTTCTTTCTCTCTTTCTCTCTTTCCTTCCTTCCTTCCTCCCTTCCTTCCTTCCTTCCTTCCTTCCTTCCTTCCTTCCTTCCTCTCTTTATTAAAGATTTTATTTATTTATTTGACAGAGAGAGACACAGCGAGAGCAGGAACACAAGCAGGGGGAGTGTGAGAGGGAGAAGCAGGCTTCTCGCTGAGCCAATGCAGGGCTCGATCCCAGGACCCTGGGATCATAACCTGAGCCCAAGGCAGAGGCTTAATGACTGAGCCACTGAGGCGACCCTACTCTTCTTTTTTTTTTTTAACGTGGAAATTTAGATTATTGATTTTTGATCTTTCTTCTTATATATGCATTCAGTGTCATAAAATTCCTTCTAAGCACTGCTTTTGCCATGTTTCACATATTTTTTTTTTAAAGATTTTATTTATTTGACAGAGAGAGACAGCAAGAGCAGGAACACAAGCGGGGGGAGTGGGAGAGGGAGAAGAAGGCTTCCAGCCAAGTTGGGAGCCCAGTGTCAGGCTCAATCCCAGGACCCTTAATGACTGAGTCACCCAGGCGCCCCCATTTCATGTATTTTGAAGGGTTGTGTTTTCATTTTCATTAGTTCAAATAATTTTTCATTTCTCTTGAGATTTCCTGACTTCTGTTTTATTTATAGGTGTGTTTTTTAATCGCCAGGCATTTTAGGATTTTCCAGTAGTTCTTTTTACTGATTTCTAGGTTCATTTGTTGTACTTTTTTTTAATTTATATTTTTATTATGTTATGTTAATCACCATACATTACATCAATAGTTTTTGATGTAGTGTTCCATTATTCATTGTTTGCATATACCACCTAGTGCTCTATGCCGTACGTTGCCTCTTTAATACCTATCACCAGGCTAACCCATCCCCCCACCCCTCACCCCTCTAGAACCCTCAGTATTTTTTCCTCTGAGTCCATAGTCTCTCATCGTTCATCTCCCGCTCCGATTTCCCCCCCTTCATTCTTCCCCTCCTGCTATCTTCTTCTTTTTTGTTTTTTTTAACATATAATGTATTATTTGTTTCAGAGGTCCAGATTTGTGATTCAGCAGTCTTACACAATTCACAGCGCTCACCATAGCA